CCCCCCCCCCCCCCCCCCCCCCCTCCATGATGATGATGAATAGGTTTAATAAGAGAATCTACAGTGGATAGACACAACATCTCATGATTTAAAATGCAAAGACAGCCCGACCCCAAGCAGCAGCAGGACTGCAAGACAAACAACCGTTTTTTTAGGGAGTCTGATTGAGGCTTTTTAAAGGTGTGGTGGAAACTGCAGAGCTCAGACATAAACACCATAGTGGTGGTGTGGGTGAAAAAGCAAAACAAAAACAGCTGGTTCAAGTCATAGCATGACTTTAACCTTTACCGTGTTACAGAGGTCACTCTAAAACAGCGAGAAGAGTCGAAGCGGTGTGTAATCTGAGTGAAGATATAACGGTGATAAAGTGTTGACAGAAGCTCTAACGCGTGTACCAGCTGTCTGCTCCCAGGAAAAACTGCTTGTTTCAATATGTTCCTGCCAGGCGCAGCACTAACACCACCTAATAGGTCACTTAGCGATGCTGCAGCTCCGGCTTAATCTCGACATCCAGAGCTGAAGATTAGACACAACATGGGAAAAAAAAAAAAAAAGGAGTGAAATGATGACTTTGCAAGGCAATTATTAGAAAGCCGAGTCAAGCCAGATATGACATTATACGACAGAGTCAACAGAAGCACGGGCTATGATTAGGACATACTGAACATGGAAATCGATTGAGAAAGTCAGGCAAGGATGATTTATATCACGGTGCTCTGCGATGTGGGGTTTATTTCAGCAATTTTTGGCAGAGACCTTGGCAGTGATGTGTGTTATATAGTGACCAAACAGGAAGAGAGGAATTATTGAGGAATGAGACCGCACTAAATATTCTTTGGTCTACTGTACTAAGAAAAAATAAAAAGAATGAGCTGCTGAGTAAACCGTATTGTTTAAGTTCACTGTGGTATTGACATTTATAATATAGTTTGAAGGGGAACTAAAACCTTCTGAGAGGTTGGCGTTTTTAAAATGGTTGAAGTTGGGATAACCATTAAGCTAAGGCTTAAATGAACTCTTCCACTGGAAAGAAACAAAAATGGTAAAGATCCATCAACAAGCTTTTACACAAAAAGTCTTAGCAAGACCTCCTGCTAAAAATCGCCAGAGGTGGATAGTAACTAGTTACATTTGCTCTATCTATATAGATATATACATATATAGATTTTCACCCTGATTCTCTCTTTAGCAATTCTGCCTTTGCAAAGAGGACTTATTAAAATACCAAAATAAATCTGACATTTATGCAGATAATTGGATAAATTGAGCAGAGCTGCAGGATTCCTCACAGACAGATCCATAATGATCTTACCTTGAGCCAGCATGCTGAACTCCAAAAACAGTGCAATGTGGTAAAGTTCCATGGCCTCCTCTGTGCGTGTGCTGGCCCCTCTGCATCCTGAAACAAGGGCCTGCACCTCACCCAGGCTGCAGGATGAAGGGCTGCCACGCAGCACCAGCCCGAGGTCCACTACATCTGTGTACATGCAGTGAAGGATGACCTGCACGTATTTCCGTGGAATGATGGATTCATCTAACACTATTCTGGTGGGTGTCTGCAGCGTGCGCTCTGTCATCTCTTCTCCTGTGCGAATTCGTCTTTGCAAAAGGTTCCTAAAGAAAGGGGAGCGTGCTGAGAGGATGGCCTTGTGAGCCCTGAGGTCCTCATCTGGGGTCCCCGGTGCCCCACTGCCTCCTGAACTCCCTGCTGGCACTGCGGCCACAGCTCCTCTCTCATTAGAGCCTTCTATCATCTCGGAATCAGAGGAAAAGCTGAGGAGAGCATCATAGTAGCACATGTAGTCAAACAAGCCCTTCATGTCTGCCTCCAGAGAGTTGGGAGTACCAAACTCCTCGCTGAGCTGAACAAGGACATCCACGTTCTGTAGCCTGGTATCCTCTGCTCCACCCACCCCAAACTCCCCAGTGTACAGGTAATGAAGCAGGGCAGAGAACATGGGCACATCAATACCAGCTGTGTCAATGTCCATGAGAACCTCTGCTCCATAACCAGGAGAAGAAGAAAGCAAAGTCTTGAAAAAGGGGCATCGTGCAGCCAGGATGGCGCGGTGAGCTGGGAAGCAGGTACCTTGGAAGATGAGATCTACATCAGTGCAATACTTGTGCTGGTAAAGAGCAGCCAGATCCCGCGGCAAACTGGGCGCCTCGGCGCGGGCCAGGCTGGCCTGGAAGCTCAGCTCCTTGAGGGCTGCCGTCCCCTCGTACTCCTCCACCAGGGCGTTTGTGTCTCGGACGTCCCACCCTGACAGAAGCTCGCGCATCTGCCGCGCGTGATCCGCCGAGCGGCTGGACTTCCTCCTTCTGATGAACCTTCGTTTGAGTGTTGCGAGCCCAAGGCTCTTCTTCTTTCTGTCTGCTGGTCGCTCATGGCCGTGCTCCAGGCTGTACAGCTTGGACTCCCAGCCATATCCCTGTTGAGAGTACGAAGATGTCCCTGCAATAAAAACACAAAGACATAATATTTTATCAGACATCTACACCATTCACAGTAGGATTAACTCTTAGACTTCCAAGTTCTACAGGGAAACATGAAAATATGACCAGCAAAACATGAAGAAATCTTTCCGGAAAACTTAACACACTTTAACCTTTAGACTCCTATTTTTATAAGTGCAAAACCTGCATGAGTAAGTGTTGCTCCCACCTAACAGCCAAACCATCTTTTAAAACATCCTGCAAACTAGGAAGGCTGAGCCACTTGAAAGAATTTGCAGGTTGAAGTTCATGTTTCATATCTACCCACACACCTTCTGCCATGCTCAATAGATCAAACTGTGATGGGAATTCTCTTCAAAACGGTTTCAATCAGAGTTTTTAACGTCATTTGGACTCTTGATATGAGGCTGCAGTCTATGACACGGTTTTATTCATCAATCAAATCTTCCTGCATCTCCTTTCCATTTAGAAAATAAACATTTTCTTCACCCTTACAGCAAGAAAACTGTTTTTGCTACAAAGTTTCCTTCACTTTTTACCCTACATCTAAAGTGCAAATAGTAAATCTGTCAATAATCTATTCCATGAAAGTATTCATACAAAGATATTTGGGGGACCTTTCCTGTGATGCAGGAACTATAAAATCCTATCAAATAGTGCAGTTAAAAAGTATTTTGCAATTGCAATATTGTACACACTGATTTAATATATTATGCAAGTGTGTAAGTGTTTAAAATGATACCCATAGTTTTCCAGGGTCCATCCAAGTATGTGTGAAAGTTAGGGCTTCCCTCAGGCATCACCAGGGGCAATGCAAAGTGTCAGATTCACTGTTTTAAAGCATGTTTTCACCCGGAGCAGGGATGAAACATGTTCTCTGAACAGACGAATGACATAAGTCTGGAAATCCGATGGATGGGGCTCTTTTTGGAAGCAGAGTAAAGTCTGATTCAGAGGGGAATTATTGTGTGGTGTCGTTTTTTTTCAGGCTTTAGGCCTGGCCCCCTTAACCACCAGCGCCAATGTTTCCCATCTTGTCATGCATGACTGCAGTTTGAAAGGCAGGAATAACGTGGCTGTGGGACGAGTGGAAGTTAAATAAACTTTGTGGGACATCAAACCCTGGCACATCTTTTTAGTAGGTGTGTTGCTTCTGATGCACTGCTGTTGTGATCGTTTCATGACCTGGGGCCTCATGTACAAAAGAGTGTGGAGCTTTTATACTGAAACTTTGTGGGCAAAATTCTGAAACTTGTGGCACACAAACACAAAAACAAATAATCAGATGTATAAAAAAAAAAAACGCACACTCCATATAGATCCCAATTTGCCTGAAGTCGCCCACAGCTGTTTGTGCCCCTAATTATATATGTATGCAAATCAGTATAAATACCCAGAGGGCTCCCACCACGTGTCCATATAGCCATAGCAACGCTGCACAGAGAAACCTTATCAATATACCTCAGGGATGGTTGTTACAGCCAGCTAATACCTTATGAGTGACATCAGTGACTCATTAAATCAAGGAGCTGAAAATTAAAAAGTCAAACTGTGGAATAATCAGGTAAAGAAGTAGAAAAACAGTCTGTAAGCATTTCTGATTTTAATTATATGAAGTTCAAACAGTTCTACTGAACTTAATTAGGGCTGCAACTATCAATTATCTTATTAATTGTTTAATCTGCTGATTATTTCTAGATTAATAGAGTACTACTCAGCTAGCCAAAGATTCTTTAAAAAATACTTTTAAAGAAATTTAACCATTAGAAACTCAACTTTTCCACCTGAGGAGTTCTGGATAGAGTATAACTGACTGACGAAAGATGTTTTTTCATCTTAAAATGTTATAAGTAGGTCACTGTCAGCTAAAGGCATGTTTTCCATTCTCTATACTCCAGTTAACAATTCATCGATTACTAAATTAGTTGATGGTTATTGCATTAATTGATTAATCACGATTAATCCGATTGTTTCATCATAAACTTAACTGGAATGTATTTCAAATCATTATAATTAATTTAAAGAAAGCAAATATTTTTATTAGGAACATCTCACCATGCAACATTCTAAACCAGGGGTCTTCAACCTTTTCCAGGCCAAGGACCCCCAAACTGATGGCAATAGAGCGGGGAACCCCAAATTATACATATTGTATGGAATTGTGTTTTATCAAACTGGTCCTATAGTCACTCTATTACATATAGAGTAATGCAACTAAAATTATAACGCCCTGGGATTATTCAAGTATATCAGACTCTGATTCCTAGTTGATGGGACAGGTGTTGTGAATGAAACGGTGCCCAGGTTGAAAGAGCTCCTGTGTGTCGCTGAATGTGTGCATTGATGACTGAAAGACATCTTCTGCCTCCATTTATCTGTTTACTTCAGTGTGTTGTATTCATATTAATGTAGATTTAAAGACATTTCAATTAGTGGAAAAAAATTGCAGTGGAGAACATTAAAAAAATAACAAAAAAAACCCACTTTCATGACCCCCATGCAGTACCTCCGTGGACCCCCTAGGGGTCGCGGACCCCCTGTTGAAGACCTCCGTTCTAAACGATTCAGGACGTCTCAAAAGAGAAGCCAACTATCGCATACAGTCCACTCTGTGACATGTTTGCCCCAAATTCATTCACAGATTGGTCTTTATAGCAGTACGAGTACAGCTTTAGCTTTGATTACTTTTTGAAATCAGCTCCTTGCTCTATATTGCAGTAAAAATGTATTTGGGAGTAGTTGACTGTATATTTTAAACTGCTTTCTATTATATATATCTGAGCAACATGCGTTCGAGGTCGTCCCATTCGCCTGCGTCATACTGAAGCCTATGGTTTACGTATGAGGCGTCACTTAATCAAGGTTCTACAGCTTCTAACAGGTTTCTACAGATCATCTCCAAGCAACACTGCACCAATGCAACAGTTCATACAACAGGAGTCCCAACCATTCAGTGCATATTTACGGTTTCCTTCCAATTACTCTGTATAATAAATGTGCAGAATAAGTAAGTGGCGCTTATTTCAAAGATATTTTATTTTACTAAGATGCATCTGTGTCTTTATTTTACAGCTGACAAAGGTTTCATCCACAGAGATGTCTTTTTACTAATTTAATGAACATTTTTGAGGTAGGGCTAGGCTTAAAAAAAAACAAAACTAAATCTAATTTATAGATATTTTTTCTCATTTTAGCTCCATTAAAAGCTAATTACAGATAACAGAAATTACTTTTAAAATCTATTAGTCCTTTCTGGGAGTTGACCTGATTTCAAAAAGCCACTAAAACAGAAGCTGTGAAATATGCTTCTGAATCCATTTGGTGGGCTCTTCAATGTAAAAAATGAACATATAACAAAAGTGTGCAGCTTGTGACTTTACTCAATGAGAGAATTTAACTCTTTTGAGTAGATATCTAAAAATAAAAAGTGATGGGCTGACATCACTATGAACTATAGAAGCCCAAAGAGCAGCCGGGTGACAAAAAAAAAAAAATTAATTAATTAATTTTCCAAAAATAAATTCTTCATAAAAAGTGAATTCAGTGCTGGATAAAATCTATTTACCAGCCAGTCCCAGAGCAGGTCGGTGTGGAAACGAGCTCTCCTTTGAAGCTTAGCTGGAGCCTATGGCTATGATTTAATGTTCTCCTGGAGCCTGTGTGGGTTCCCTGCAGCTCAAACTAGGTTCTAAGCCGCCTGTGTTTATGAATGAGTTCAGTAACAAATCGCCTGAGATCTAGTTTACTTCAGCAACAGAAGCAGGAGAGGCTCTGCAGAAAAGAAAATGTGTTTAAAAAAAAAATAAAATATATATTTTTTTCCTCCCCCAAGCTGATCATAACATCCCCTTGTATGAGATTTTAAAGAATGACGCTGATTTAGATGAATTTCTGAAGTAATACCAGAGGTACCGCTGCAGGCAGACACACCAAACATTACCAGCCTCTGGCGTGCCTTCCAGGCCGGGCATGCGCTCCCTGATCAGGCACCTGGAATCTGCTCAACAGCAGTCAAAAAAAGACAGGTATCTCTTGGTTTCAGAACACAAGGGCTCCTCACGGAGAAAAAAATCAATAAGAACTACAGATCAACCCATACAGGTGGTTTTTAAGGCCAAAGCTTTTTATTTCAACATCAGTCCGACTGATCCCAGATATGTGCTGCCGATTTTTTAAAGATAATATTGCTTTATCTTCTTTCATTTACATGATAAAAATGGAAATTAAATTAAATGTTACACACATCATAATAATAATAAAAAAAGGAACAATTATTAAGGAATCAAACAAAACAAATCAGAACTTTGGACTCCTTTGTAAATTTCACTCCTCACACAGATTTAGACCAAATCAACTCCACTAAATGGTGGTTATGTTTGGCTTCAGACAGCGGGGGTACGTCAGAGGAGGCTCTGCCAAGGAGATCCTCTCTGCCTGACCTCCTGTCAGCATCCATCAGCGTGACCCACATAGTAATCACTGGAGCTCTGAATCATCCGTGGCTGGGCCCAGATCAACTCAGCGACTCCAGAGCTCAGCAGACAACACAGGCAGATCATTTAGCTCTTCTAAATTACCCCAAAACCTTCAACCTCTTAGAGGCAGCTGATAGCGGGCCAAGAAACCTGTTCCTCTTCCTTTAAAAATGTCATCCAAGGCTTCACTAAAACCATCTTTCACAGCGTTGAAAGAAAACCATCAGAAAATGTCTTCACATGATGAAGACGATTCTACAACTAGAACCGTTTGAAGCTGCTGACTTCAGACCTCTGTCTTATAAAGTATAAGGTCACAGAAAAATACTGTGAGCCTGCAGGAGCTTAGCGAATAAAAACACCTCTTGTGATGCAATTCTGGTCAATGAGATTCAAAATGATATTTTTCCCCCGAACAAGGCCAAACGACAGAGGCATAGGGAAGAACCTAATGCTCCTACCTCAGCTCTATGAGTCAACAGCCCAGTTCAAGAGCTCTCATCCACAAAATGATTCACCTCCCGCACCATCAGTTGCCATGGAAGCAGGTTAATCTAATCTAAAGTGTGAGTTAGTGCATGGCACAGCCCCATTAGTATGCATTTGTAGAAAAGATAGACATACATACGGGGTCATTACACAAGAGTGGGAAAACTCTGGGGTTTAACCTACACTGAAACAGTTTAACAGCTCATGGATAAAGCATAGTTTTTTTTCCTCCCCAGAAAAAAAAACCCTCCTTGTTGACCTGGCTTTATTGAACTTACCTATAAAGGTCTGCTGCGTCTGTGTGTTTCCCCCTATACGTGGGGAGCAGGAGTGTGGATAGCTAGACCCATTGGCCCCCATCCTTATTGTTCTTCACTTATTATTTGGGGGTTCCCCCTGGTGCTGAGTCATCCTGAGTCCTCAGCTGTAGATCAGGCAGGAATCTTTTGAAGCCTCCTAAGAGCCCCGGGTCCCGGCTGCTCCGCCTGGAGGAGAGGAGGAAGAAAGGGGAGAGAGAAACATTCAAAGTCAGACAGGGAGTGCATCAAAAAAAAAAAAAAAAGTTGCTGACTAACATCTCGCAGAGTTGAGTCTGAACCACACAGACCCCATAGGAGATAATGAGCGCCTCGAGGCGTCAGTGTTGAGGAGGTTGAACGGAGGAGCAACTAATTACATCTATCACATCCTTTCAGCCACATTGATTTTACTGCAGTGATCAATGGCAGCCATCCTGGCTGTTTCACAAGCCTGTGTGGATAAAAACTCTTCTGACGTTTTACTTCAGGAAGTTTTCCTTCCAAGATCGTCTTGTTCAGGCTTTTATCTAATCTTCAACCGGGACTTCCTCTTCCTCCCCTCAGGAAACTGATTGCAAGTCAACGACAAATCCAATGCAGATGTAAGCAGACCCACAACATCCCAGGACATTCCAGTCATCCATCCATTATGGTCACTCACAGTTTTTGCATCAGTATAAGAAGGCAAAAAGAAACAAAAACACTGGAGATCCCAATCTAAAAACATTAATCTAAATGTGTGGAAAGAAATCAAAACCACAGAGAGTTTCTATCCACAGATAAGAAGACATGGTAGCCCTGGTTACCATGGTAAAACATGGTAACCAGTTAAAGGCTGTACAACTTTGCCATAAATAATAATATTGATTGTTTTAATTTCCCTTAGCATTAAACACAAATATATACACATTACGCTACCAAAAAAAAGCCTTGAATGTTCTCTTATTCAGAGTCAATAATTGCACTGTTGCTTGGAGAAATGCTAACCTTTAGCTAGCATGCATGGATGAATGAATCTGCAGGCTAGCTGCAACAGTTTCCTCCCAGCTAACGCACCTAAAGCGCCATAATCAGAAAGTTAGTTTCCTACTCTTATTATATTTAACAAGACCAAAACAAATGAAATGTCAATTCACAAATGGCATAATATTGTAAATGTACTTAATAATCAGCCTATCAAAATTACCCCAGGAGTAAAATTACTCCACCAATCAACAACTCCTAGAAAATGTAACACAAAAACCAAGAGCAACATTTAAAGCTCTGCAGGTTTTAGTTTCCTCAATTAAAATAAGACAATTAATAAAAAGTCTGGACATCCAAGGGAGAGTTCAAAGGTCAAAACAACTACTGCCCAAAGAAAACAAGAAGACTCTGCTTACAACTGCTAAAAATCCTGTTGACAATCAAGAATTGAGGAAAATATTACTTGAAAGGATGAGACAAAATCATTTTCTTTTATTTGCTGCCTGACAGATTGGGCATCAAACTCAAAGACTGGATAAAATCAACATTACATCTACTTGGAAGCGAAAAGAAAACTCACGTCTTTAGGGTACTCTTGAACAGGTGGGAAGAGTATGACATTTTAAATGTTATTAAAAAAAGATTAAAGAAAAGGGGACTTCATTAATAAAAGGTGGACATTTAAATGGCTCGGTATAAAGAAAATTCACATAAATCTTTAAACTCTTGAGCGTCCTCTCCTGCAAAACATGACTGGAAAGTGGAGCATGATGTGAAACCTGTTTTATCTCAGTCTGCTGCGTTTTCCTGCCTACCATACTAATAATCCAGCGGGTCTGCCCCTGCAGAGCAGCACCAGCGTGTCCCTGTGGCTTTGATGGAAAACCCAAGGCCTCTTTCTATAGCACATGCATGCAAATGTTTCTCTTTATTTTCCCCCGCACTGTTTCAAGTTAGCCTCATAATAAGAGCGATTTTCTTGTGGCAAAATTAGAAGTTCGTTTTGAGATGAAGGAGAAGAAAAGAAGGAACCCCGCGAGAACGGTGACGTGTGTTTACAACAGGCAGCATCGCTCGCAGCCGCGAACCACACAGGACGAGCAGAACAAAGCAATCGGCACATCGGATGAATTATATGCATATCATATTTAAATTGAAGAAGCCAAATATAACATCAGCTGCAGAATTATGACAGCAGCATTTAGCTCAGGTTATCACTGAGCCTTTATACTCTAATCCCTAAGGTGCAACTTTTAAGACTCTTTTTCTGCATGAGTCCCTGATAGTGAGCTGCAGGGTTGTGCTCAGCTCTAAACAGGGCTGGTTTAGTGTTGCGGACACAGTTTGAGCTGGACTATGCGTCCCTAATGAGAGGTGACATGAGACACTCCCTGCCCCCCACCCACTTCCCTCTGAACATGCACCCTTTCAAGCTGCTCACCTTGTACCAGTAATCCCCTACTTCTTATTTTACAGAGGAAAAACGCATTTTAAGGCTTATGGAACCAACACATGACCTAACACCTCATCTACCAGAAAATATCTGATTTAAGGAGAGGATTGCTTCATTATTCAAATGACTCGCAGTCCCATCAATCATTAATGAGGGTTTCCTCATCATGGCGGAGAAAATGGAAGCTGTAGGTGAATGTGCCTCCTGTCCTTTTCTTCATCCATTACTGAAATCTTTATGAAGTAAAATTAAAACACCGGTCACATAAAGAGTAGGTTTAAAAGAAATCTGAAAGAAAGGCAAGATTTTTTTTATCCATTACTGCTTTGGTAATTATAAAATGGGTAAAGGGGTAAAGAACTAAATTGCTAAAAAAACAATAATTAAAGTAGAGAGAAAATCCACAATACGTATTCATTCGCAGCTCTATAAGATTAACATTTTAAAAAGGAGCTTTTTGTTGGAAGTGCTGGCCTGTTTTGAAGAAATGGCAGTTTACCTGCTTCAAAACCTGAAACATGACCTGTGAGACATGGGCATTGTGCTCTTTGTAAAGCCACCTGGACAGAAATTGTTGGCAATTACAGATGCTTTCGACCCGGGAGATATTTGATACAATCAGAAGTGCTCTAAAACGAGGTCATAAAACAGAATGCGGCAGTGTGCAAAAAGCAGAACTTTCTAACAAAGAGTGACCTCCAAATCTTTGACGTGTCGATGCACACATCATCACGCTGCATGAGAAGACTGCAGGTAGATGGGGAAACAGTCCAAATGGTTCCCTACGAGACCGGAAGGACTGCAGGGACAACAGTCAGGGTTGGATTGCTCCAATCAGCTAAGCCAGTATCTCATTAGGCCATTAGGTTGATTGGAGGCCATGCTAGGTGGGGCCACCCACAGCTAGAAAAATTGGGATAGGCGGGAAATGAAGATAATCAAATCACAAAACCTTAAAGATGAAGAAAAAGTCTTTGCGATGATGATTCCTGGGGAAAGACTAACCGTTTCAAACAGTTTCTCTGCATGTTCCTCATTTCAATGCCCACAGTCAGTTAGTCCCATCGAGCTCCAGAGGCCACGAAGCAAAAAACAAAGCAAAACATCGTTCCAAGGCTGCACAAATCATCAGGATGATCACAACCTGGTAGCTAATCATTTTTTTTTTCCTTACATAAGGGGATTTTATTTACACCATGCTTAGCCTGATGCACTGAAATCAGTCTATATTGAGGGGAACATTTTAAAGATGATCTGGAAGAACAACACTCACAGGTTACTGTTCTGAGGATGAGTGGATTAAAGAGGTGCTGAGTGGACCCACAAATTCACTGAGATTACAGCAGGATTATAACAGCCTGCATATGGCTCTGCACTGCTTCACCAACAAACTGCTGCTCTGAGAAATCTTTTTAAAGGGCAGCGGAAATATACTTATTAGGATTATAAATGAAGAAAACCCATTTTTTTTAGCAGATAGAGGGCTCTACAGAAACTCTTCACACATTTTTCCAGGAACTTCAGTAGAACCTCTCAGACTGCAGCTCTAAAAATGTTGCACTTCTTTAAAAGAATGCATTTAAAATATTGCATTTATTTCATACATTTCTGTTTTTTTTCATCAAAGAATTTCTAACCACTTGTTTTAAAAATATATATATATTTTTCAGATCCTGGAATTCGTTTAAGTCAAAGATAAAAACCCATTTGTTTTTATCCAAACTGGCTTTCATTGTTGAAGTTGTAATGCTAACTGAGGTATTACCAATTTAAGGTTGTGATCCAACTGTTTTATTTCTTTATTTTTTTTTCTCCACCTACTTTTATCAATTTTAATTGCTCTTATTCTGCTTTGTTGTGGTTTTGCTTTTATTTTTCTTCTATTTTATTATCTTATTCCTGTAAAGCACTTTAAATTCTCCATGTACTGAATTGTGCTTCACAGATAAACTTTCCTTGTGTTGATTTCAAGAATGCAGTATGATCAAAAATGCCAATATACAGTAATGATGTATTCTTGGTTGTATTTAGCCCGCTGTATGTGATTATGGGATGGAGATGGTGATGAGTCTTTGCAGCACACCCTGTCAGCAGCAGCAGCCGCATGCAGCTCATTCTGCAAAATGCAACTTCAAGCTTAAACTTGTTTTCATAAAGAAACCGAGATAGGTTCCCACATAAAAGCCAGATTATTTGGTCTATTTAACCCCAAGTTAATAATTACCCCCTCCCCTGTTACAGTTGAGCTTTTACATAGAGGGGCTGCAGCTGCTTAACTTTGGCCAATAAGTCCAGCTACATACATTAAAAACACATTTTCATTGCTAATTGGATTTTTTAAGTCTGATTGGACCTTCCAATCCTCCACATTGTTGTTGTGTCTTCAGTCTTTATCAAACCCCTCACACCAGCCTGACCTTAGCCCACTACAGCCTCCAGTTCTCCCCAAACCTCCTCAGAAAGGTCCTGGGAACCAAGCTATACCCTCTCTGCCTTTCTCAGTCTTCTTCAACTATCTAGTCTTCTTGTGTCCACCTCAGCCCCCTTCAGTCCTCACATTTAGACCCCACTCAGTCCTCTGGAGGCTCCCCTAGCCCTGTTCGGTCCTCCTCGGTCATCTCCAGTGTAATTAGCAACAGCTCCTAAACAGCTAGCTTAGCTATGTGTGGCTTTAATTCTTCGTTTTTTTCTTTAAAGCCGAAGAACATCTGTTGAACACGGACCATTCAGATTATATTTTACCTGGAACTTCAGAGCCCTCTGCCCATAGTTTGTCTCCGGATCACAGAGCAGTTCAGTCCGGTCCAAGTTGTCTGATCAGTTGAGGAATTAAAAAAAAAAAAAAAAAAAAAAGCTGCTCAGCCCCTTCTTTCTCCAACTCTGCTCATTACGCTCTGATCGACGTCAGACACCGAACGAAACCGTTAAAATGCGAAAGCGCTTCCACTTCCGTCGTTTCCCCCCTCATTTTCTCCGCATCTTTCTTCGCCCTAAAACAGAACTCGAGCTTTATTTAGTCTCGGTTCGACTCGGTATTTCTACACAACGCCTTGTTGGGTGGCTTTTACGGCCTATCCCAAAGCCACCGAGTCCAAGCTGGCGGAATTAAAGTCACAGCTTCCGTTTAAAGTTTTTCAAAATAAAATGTTCAAATTGGTAATATTTATTAAAACCATAGACAAACGCGCGCCAGATGTTATATTTCTATAATCAACATTTAAACATGTATATATTTACAATAAATAATAATTTTCTATGTGTTAACTCCACTTTTTTGTGAACGTTTCTGTCTAAGGAAATAAAGCGATAGTTCCGCTAACTTGACTTGTTCTTTAATTCTGGTGGCTGGTTTTTCATATTCGAGCGCCCTCTAGCGATTCTTTGTATCAATAACAGTTAAAGGAAAGAAACATTTTTTTTTGTTTATTCCCTCCTAGACAACAAAAAACACCTACATTAGAATGATAAGACGCGTAATTCACATATCACCTTGGATATTTTTTATATTTTAGGTCTGATATCACCTTATTTTTATATAGATAGACCTTTAAAAATTCAAGTGGGATTAGGCATTGTTGTTACTTGTTTTGTTAAAAAAATAAATAAATAAATAAAAACACGACTGGTTGTACATAAAAAAGTTAACCCTCTATACATCACAATGAGTTAGATAATGCCAAATTAATTTGCTGAAAAGGTATTATCATTATGTCATTATATGAGCTGGCAGGTCCATTTTTATCCAGCTGGGGGCGCCAGAATACACCTAATGTGAGCCTAATACTCTGATGCCAGTAATTGATCATACGTAGAAAGTAAATATCTATGGAGATTTATGTCACCCATCCAATGTAATATAACACTTAGTTAGCAAATTAAGTGGTTATTCATTGTTACAGCCGAAACCAACACAAAAAATAGTGACAATTATAATTTGACAATAATAATTTTCACCATGCATCTATGTAGGTGTGTCAAGTTGTCTACCAACAACACAACCAAATTTTAAATTTAGCATAAGCATCATCATAACTTGCAGCGTCTTATGCACACATTTACGAAATCCTTGAATAGACAAAATCAGGTTTGCTCTCTCAGCACATTGATGCTCCTGTTTCCTCAAGACAAAAGTAATCATCTTACATGCCGGTGAAGGTTCTCAGTCATTTCAATCATCAGGTCATTCCAAAAAAAAAAAAAAAATTAAAAAATTAAAAACAATCCAATTTTCTTGGAATAACGTGCATACAGGTGTCACATTTTTAAAGCTCTATATGATTAGAACTGTTTATAAGAGCAATAAAAAAAGTAGTAACAGTTCATTGTGTACATTATGTAACATCAATGTTTATCTAAACCACAATAGAAAAGCTTCTAAAAGGTGATATACATATAAAAAATCAAGATGACATAAATCTAACCTGTTCAAAACAGGTTAAAATTGAGGGTAAAAAGATTTGTTGCCTTTGATTTAAGTTTGTTTTGTGGTTGCCATGACCAGAATGAATGATAATCCGCAGAAACATGATTAACTACGGTTTTCTCCTGTTTTGTAAAATTCAGTCTTCCCACAAACTAGACTATGATACTGCCTTAATGACAGCTTTCTCTTTATGTTTATCTGGAAGTAACTCCTCCTAAGAAGAGAGACAGGAACTTGTTAAAGTAGATCCTATCTGCTTGTACCTCAGGGGATGTGATGAGGAATTAGTTCAGAAACATTTCCTTTAAGTTGCAGAGAGCAACTGAGTGAGCTGAAGTAAGAAGAATGTCTTCAATCTTAACGAGAACCACAGCGAGCAGGCTGCTCTTCATTAAATCTGTTCAGCAAAGCCAAAGGCCGACCATCTACAGCAAGCCGCCCAAGGAAAGGATTGGACCAGCGGTAGGAGAAATTATTTGTCTTAATGTGGAATTGCTTGCTTAGAATGAGAAGATCTGGTAATAAAATGGCACTGAAGTGAAATTAGGAGCTTGATCAGGAATATGTTATGTTAAGTTTTTTATCAACTAATCTAAAACCTTTTTTTGATGGGCCAAATCTGTTTAAGAAGACCGGTGGATCTTCTGAGCCACTTTATTGGCTGTGATGTGAGGAAGTCAAGCGGACACTGCTCTCTCTTCTGGAGAGTGGAAGAGATGTTTTATTCATTCTGCCTGTTTTGGCCTCTGAAAATGGATCCAATGATAGGGCTGCAACATCGCAGCCAGCATTTATGCAACTATAAATCCGCTGATCTGTCCCATGGGACATCTTTTAGAAAGCACATCTTGGGTTAGGAATACCTGAATGAAGAAGGAGATATCATGGAAAGATTATATATAAATGGTGCTTATATCAGCTGCTGTGTCATAGAGGTTTAGGTTGATATGCAAAGAGGTTTGGGTGCAAAACTAAATTGTTAAATGTAGTATATTTTTTTTTATTTGCAAATGCATGTGATGTATATGTATATATATATATATATATATATATATA